AGACTCAGACTGAATTCCTGGCTCCTCACCCTGACCTGCTCCAGAACTGGCTGTGCCAGGTTTTTGGGGATTGAGCCAGTGCCAGTGGATATTGAGATTCTCTCTCCCTCCCTCTCTCTCTTTCTCTGTGTGTGTGTGTGTGTGTGTGTGTGTGTCTTCCATTTAAATAAATAAATATAAAGAGTTGAAGTCATTGTGAGTTGGTTTTAACCATCAAGGCTATAAAAGGTAGGTGTAATTTGAGGAAAAAGCAAGGAGTTTATTGGAAAGAATGGGGTTAAGAGAACTTGAATTGGGATTAAAAGATGCAATCAGTGTGGTGGTACCTCATGATGTGTACTTCAAGGTCTTCACTATAGCATTATAAGATCAGGTCAGTTTTGTGAGTCTGTGAAGTTATTTTTTGGGAATACATGGAAACTTTCTATGCTGACGCTGGTTCTGTGCTACCTGACAATGTAACTTGGATTCAGACATCAACACCTTGAGTCCTCATTAACCTCAGTTGGAAAAGGAGGATGAGGTCTTTTCTCTACATCAAGTTTATTCTGATAAAAAGGAGATAAATCCAGAGTGCTTGAATGTTAGAAATACAGATCAGGGTTCAGTTGTTGCTGCATTTAGTGATGCTGGAAGGTATAGTCCAAGTGGAGAGCCAGCTTCTAATATTTAGGAGTTACTTCTACGCTCTATGGGTTTTCATATTAAGCAAACACATATAAATTCGCTAATGTGCCTAGTCACTTGTTAACATACTTTCCTCTATCTCAAAAAGTCTTGTGAAAATTCATAAAATTAACCAGGCTCATGCTCAGGCTCTGGAACAGTGTTAAACATTCCAGGCTGAAAAGTTAACAGTGATCCGAATGTGACTCCTAACTGACCCATGCATGCTTTGGCAAGTTCCTTAAATTATCTGAATCTGTCTCCTCATCTCTAAAATGCACATCAGAGCAGATGTTTGGCTTAGCAGTTAGGTGGCTGGTTGGGATGCTTGCATTCTATATTCCTATATTTAGGTCTGAGTCCTGGTTCTGCTTTTGATTCTAGTTTCCTGCTAATAAGCAAAGTGGGATGGCTCAAGTAGTTGGTGATGGCTCAGTGGGTGATGGCTCAAGTAGTTGGTTCTCTGTCATTCCCATGGGACATCTGGATGAAATTCCTGGCTTCTAGCTCACTTGCTGTCTATTATCTATCTATCTACCCATCATCTGTCTGTCTGTCTATTTATCTATCTATTTATCTTCCTCTCATAAATAAATAAACAAATAAAATGTCAAATGAGCATCTTTTCAATTTTGCTTTCATAGAGGCTTTATGGAAATTAAAGGAAAATCACTATAACATGTAAGGTTTTTGCTATACTTACACATAGCATTCACTGACCAAGTAGTAAATACCATTATCCATTATGAAAAAAAAATTCAGTCCCAGGCTCCGTTTTTCTGCCATGTGAGCTAAATAGACATGAATTGGACTCTCCTAGTTTTTAGTAATTTATGGAGATACAGACAGGAAAGAAACAGAAACATCACATCAAATAATTGAAGCATTACAGTACTGTTAAGACCAATGGGGAAGGTCATGGGGGTGCTATGAATAAATTCAACAGGAGATCCTCAATTTGAACTTTATTGAATAAATTCATTACTTGACACAACTCACTTGGCTATGAGTACAAACTGCAAAGAAAGTATTGTGCCTCCAGTCCAACAGAGGGCTCCTTCCTATTCTTCATCCAGCTGACAGGTTCATGCTCCGTTGCAGTTGGTTTTCTGGCCAGTCTGTTTCCTCCTGGGAGCCTCACTCCAGGTCTTTGTTCTCTGAGATGATCTGGGATTAGACACAAACATCATATCTATGATGTTTCCTGATGGACAATGAGATGAGATTGGCTGCTGATCCTAATGCTCCTTCCAACTGCTGCTCATCTTCTTAGACAACCAACATGTACTGAAGCAGTCTAAGAAGATAAAAAACAAAAAGGCTCATCAGAAGAATGGCAGATTACCAACATTGCTCACTTAGGCTCTGCTTAAAATAAAAAATGAACTATATTAGAAACTGTGGTTGAATACAAATCTTTGTCCTTGTGAAATTCTTTAAAACTATTCCCTGGGGCAGATGTGTGGGGCAGGGTGTTAAGTCACTGCTTTGGACACCTGGATCCCATATTAGAGCAATGATTCAAGTCCCAGCTGCTCCATTCTTGATCCAGCTTCCTGCTAATGTACCTGGGAAGGCAGCAGATGATGACCTGGGTACTCCAGCTCCCTGCACCCATATCAGAAACCCAGATGAAGTTCCTAGTTTGGGCCTGTCCCATGCCAGCTGTTGCAGGCATTTGGGGAATAAACCAGTGGGTGAAAGATTTCTCTTCCACTGATATGTCTCTAAAATAAATAAAACATAAGTAAATAAAATTTTTTTATAAAATTTCTGGCATTAATGACTTCAGAAAACTAGCAAAGGCTATTAGTAAAATAGTCTGCTGTGATAATGGCCAGGAAGGATAATTCAGGACTAAAGTATTCTGAGGTATGTATTTGGAGAATTTTATAATCATTGGAAAAAAAAAAAAAACCATGGGGCTGGCATTGTGACATAACAGGTTAAGCCATCCCCTGCAATGTCAGCATCCTTGCACAAGTGCCAGTTCAAATTCCAGCTATTCTACCACCAATCCAGCTCCCTGCTAATATACTTGGGAAAACATCAGGAGATGGGCCAAGTTCTTGGATCCCTGCACCATGTGGGAGACCCAGAAGAAGCTCCTGGCTCCTGGCTCAGCTTCAGCCATCGCAGCCATTTGGGGAATGAACCAGAGGATGGAAGATATCTGTTTCTCCCTAACCCTGCCTTTCAAAAAAAAAATAAATAAGTATTTAAAAAAATACTTCTCCTCTTTGAAAGAGAAACAAATGTCTCTTGTTGTCCTCCATCACTCTGGCATCATCTATGATACATCATCCCATGGAAACTAAATAAAATACACAAAAGAGCATCTAACTGTTAAAATATCACTTGCTTAAAATACACAAAAAGTAAACAAACCAGCAGAACATTGAAAAAAGTCAAGATTTTTCATGATTTTGATCTTAACTTTCAAAGACATCTAAACTATGATAAAACACAGGTTTCAATTTTGTTCCCCCTCCCTACCAAGATCAGAAGAAAAAATGTAACTTAGAAGTTCTGTCTTCTCTTGGCCATCTCTATTTTCCTGATAAAACAAGGGTCAGCATATACAAGTTCCATAGGCAGCATCTTTGCTTTATGTGATGATGGGATCTGAAGGGTGCCTTAATAAATACCAATAGCCTTGCAGTGACTGAGCATTTGTTTGTAGTGCTTTTTCTGAAGTGTCTTCCTTTGGTGACTCAACTCGGTGACGAGTTTTCTGTAGACCCATAAGTAGGACAACTTTGGATTAGTGCAGGCGTATTGTGTGAAGCTCAGAAGTTTCACTGACTGAATTCCCACAGCTGCATTACTGGATACAGTTTAAGCTCTTGAATATCTTTCATGCTGTAGATTAAGTGTACAGGCCATGTGCTTTTAAAACTCTCACTGGAAATTTTCAGCAACACTAAGCCTACGGACGATGGAGTAGAAGTGTTGGACACAGCACAAGGAAAGGGTTACTGGTCTGATTGCAGCCATCAGGCTGAGGTGAACCAAAGAGCTAAACATTCTAAGGGGGAAATATGCAAACTCCATCTCTCTGAGGCCTCCCTGTAAATTCGCTCATTATTTCAAAATTATTTGCTGGATGAATTTAATAGGAAAAATCACCGAGTGATTAATATGTGCTAGTTACAGTGTATACTGATTCATAGGTATGAATGAGCCCATGAGGTAGATGCTATTGCTATCCTCATTTTATGGAGAGGAAACTGAGGCATAGTTAAATAACTTGCCTGAGATCTCCAAGGTGGAGTTAGAATTTAAAGTAGAATGTCTCTCTCATCAGTGAAAACTGAGATATGATCTGTCTGCTCATCCCTTACCAACACACAAATTCCCTGATTGCCTCCAACATTTCCTAGAACAATTATTTGTTATTATGTAAGGAAAATTACCTGGAAAATTCTAGACTCATAAGGAGCTTGAGAAGATACGTATAAAGCAGCAAATAACAGAAAGCATGTGTGTCATTTCTACATCATCATGTTATTGCCATCTAATGAATTTTTAGCAAGGATCTTTTTCAAACCATTATTATTATAATTAACAACTTACATGATTTGAATACAAGATACAGTGGCAATTTCTGGATCACGTGCCTCCTTAAATTTTACTTTAGTTTTAGAGCCCAAAAATTTAGTCTTTGAAACATAGGTCATCCCTGAAAAAAAGCATTGCTCCAAAATATTTCAATTTGCAATCCATCTCTTCTTAAATGCGACTGTCCTCCACCCAAATGTTACATTCTGCAATGAAACTATCAGATGAGAGACCTCTCTACATTTCATGCCACTGCTCTCTAAATAGAGCAGCACTCAAAACCCCTCTGTGTGCAATGCAAACTCAGATCCTAACACCTCCGTCTTTATGCAACACTTTGCCTTTGCAAAGGCAACAGCCAAAGGCTATGAAGGGGGAATAAAAACGGAAGAAAAGACACAAACACGCACCACCCAAGACATAAACAACTCTAGGACGCCTGTCTGCCCAGGGGAATTGGGAAAAAAAAAGTCCCTTTCGAGGGAGAGAAAAGTCTGTGTTTCTGAGAGAGGTAGTTCCCCCTCTTGACACAATACGCGTGATAATGAATTAACTAGTTAGAAACTGTCGCGTTGGAGAAAGCTGTCCTTGCGTTTTTCTGGGCATCGCGAGCTGTCCCTCTGATGGTTGCAGCAGGCAGCCTGGGCACCCCCAGGCCAGGGTCCCTCCTGTCCTCTGCGCTCCGCTTGGGCTTCTCCCAGACCAACCAGCGCCGCGTTGATGTCGCTCCCTGTGAACAGCCTTCCCTTCTTCCACCAGGTCCTGGGCAGCTCCCTGCGTCCAAACGGGAGCTGAGTTTGCAAGCTGCCAGAGGGCGACCGGGCTGGTGCTGCTGCTGATGTCAGAGCCAGAAGACAGTTGTGATTGGATCCAATTAGACTTTGCAGCAGCAAATAGACAAGCTCCCTGCGTGATTGGCTTCGAAGTGGCTGGTGCCAAACAACTAGCAGAGGTGCAAAAGTAGCAGCCTGGCGCTGGGAGCCCAGATGAAGAGGCAGCCCAAGGAGGGCTCCGGAGCGCTCAGGACGGCCGGCCGGGCGCACCTTTCCCGGGTCTTGCTGCCCCACGGACAGGCTCAGTCCTGGGGCTCCCAGCGCAGTCTCTCAGACCAGCAGGAGCGCCCAGTGCCAGAGAACAATTAGGGAGAGAGACGCGCGCTCGCGTCCTTGGTCTTAAAAAGTGAACCCGCTCACCGATTTGCAAAAGCAGAAGCAGCCTGCTCGGCGGCGGCGGCGGCGGCGGCAGCGGCGGCGGCAAGGGAGAGAAAGGTGAAATTGCTTAAGAAAGGACTCCTCTCCGGTCCTCGCGACTGGGTCTCAGCCATGGCATCCGTCCTGGGGAGCGGCAGAGGGTCTGGAGGGCTAAGCAGTCAACTCAAATGCAAGTCCAAGAGGAGGAGGAGGAGGAGGTCCAAGAGGAAAGGTAAGAACCGCTCTCGTGCGCCGGCCTGCGCGCCGCAACTCTGCGCGCTCCCCTTCCTTCCTCTTGTGATCTCTGGGCTTTGCGGATGGGATGGCCACGCCAGAGCAGGTGCTGGCGAGTTCAGGTTCCCTTTGTAAATGCCCGGGGGCTTCCTCCAGCCGCTGCGCGAGAAAGGTGTTTGGCAGGAGCCAGCAGGCAGGGAGGCTGAAAGCTCAGTGGTTGAGGGGCGTCTGTCCTTTGAGGACAGGGACCTGCGCTCCTCCTGGTCCCGCCGTCCGGCACAGCACACCCGGGGCTGGCGCTGCTTCAGATCCCACTCCGAGGCCACGTTCTCGCAAGATGCGATGCCAACGGCAGTAGTCGCTTAAGCCAACATACATAAAAGGCCGGGAGCTCTGCCGCTGGTTCTTGCCATCCAAATTGTCGTCGAGGAAGGAGCAGGCAGAAGCCGGGCATTCGCCTCCTCAAATTGGCTAGCAGTTTGTACTAAGTGTGGGACCCTACTGCTCTGCAAACACAGGGCTCTTCCTTGCAGAAATAAGCTGAAATTAAGACCTGAAAAGAAACAAGCATTGCATCCTCTTAAAAAGAAGCAGGAGGAGGGGTGGCTAGGGACACACAGTCAGTGTGTGTTCTTGGCTACTGAAGTTAGGGCCATCAGATGCCTCAGGTTCCACTCGGGGGGCTTGTGTGAAATGAACAATTGCTCCTAAGAGCAATGTCCTACAAGGGAGTAGCCTGCACGCATTCCACAAAAGAAATCAAAGATTCTTCCAGTGCCGCGCCTTCTTCTTCCAGAGCAACTTGGGTTACTGTCAGCTCCTTAGTGTGAGTCTGCGAGGGAAAGTTTAGTTTTTATCGCGATTGGAAGCATGTCCTTTTTTTTTTTTTTTTTTAAAGAAGTGAATATATAGAGGTATAAAGAATCGGAAAAAGTAGAACAAAAATGTACCAGATTTTCCAGTTTTCCTAATGCATGATGCATTGTCAGCGATAGTTGGGGTATCCTCCCTAGGGAATTCTCATTTTTGTAGCAGCCCAAGGTAAGTTTCTGCCAGACCATTTCCTAACCACCCTTCTGCCAGTCCCCAAGTCTTTTATGACTTCTTCCAACAATAGAAATTAGCCAGACAGTTTGAAGAGATAAATGTCGACAGTAAACAGTCGTTCATTAGAATTGCATGTTAGGATCCTTGGGAGCAGATGTGGCCCAATAACTTCTTTAAAAGATTTCAAAATCTTTGGTCTCCAAAGGGGAGATTTTAACTCTTGCACTGCTGAAATGCATGTGTGTCATTTACTCTGCTGTTTGAAAATAGCATTGGAAACACAACTCTTAGTACCCTCCAAAGAAAATGGTAACAAAAAGGGATGCCAGTTTTAACAAAATCAAGAAATCGAATTGTGAATATGCGTAAGACAGAAAAGGAAGCACCATCTTTACACTTCATGTGTTCATATTTACCAATAGTTTTAATCTATTTAAATATTTAAAGTGGAAGAGTAAGGAGTAATATTGTGCCATAATATATAGAATATAAACTCATGAAAAGTGTGTCCTTTATTCAAATATTTGCCTTTTTATTAAGACAATATCAGCTGCAATATCTTAAAAAGCTTCCAACTAAGGGTGAGGAGGAGAGAAACCTGAAAGAAGACCATTTTTTGTTTTGTTTTGCTATAAACTTAACTGTAGCCATGCAGAATAAAAATCTTATTGCATATAGTTCTATACTTTGATTACTTTTAATATACCAAGTGTTTTAATTTTCATACTCAAAAATTGAAGGAGGAGCAGGCAATCGGGATGGGGATGCCAATTCCTATTACTGGTAGATTTGTGTGAGGGGAATTTCCCATAGCACCTGCTGACAGCTATTTGGTAAGAAAGTCAAATCAAGCTAAGAAATAGTCACTTTTTGAGAAAAAGTTAGTTAGACATATGTAATTAAATTAGAAGACAACAGAGGAAACTATAAAAAGCATGGTAACTATTTACATTTTCCTGGGAATAGATTCAGCTTATAGATATAATTATTATTTATTACCAATGTTTGTTTTTCTATTCTGCAAGAAACATTGGTGAGTTTGAATTATGTCCTTATAGTCACGGATCTTAGCAATCATTAAGTGTATCTGATATTAAACTCTATGCTTGTCACAATTTCAATTCCACATGTGTGGATGAGTGTTAAGGAGTTCCAGTTAGGCTCTATTTTGTGTTAACTGAAGACACTGCTCATAAGCACAATATAAGGGCTCTTCCTGTAAGTGATATTTCCACCTATTGTAATGGACAAAAGACACATCATAGCTTTTAGTTTCCCAGTGTTGTGAAATGCTTTTCATTTTCTATACATATACCCTAAAAGTAGCTTTGGTATGATAGGATTTTCATTGTCAAAACAGTCAATGAGCTCTGAAATGATACACTCTAGCTGCAGCTGAAGTGTGGCGATGATTCAATGCTTCATTGTTAAATACAATCCACCGTCTTGGAAATTAAATACTTTCTGATACCAGCTATTTCACAGTCATCACACCACACAGGAAATAGTATGTATCTTTAAAATAAAAAAAAAAGGAAAACGAAACTTAGTCACAGAATATGAATTTTAGGGATTAACTGACAGGAGCTGGCATTTCTCTTACAGATAAACTTTAAAAAGATACTCAGAGTAAACCTCATCATCAATTCCACCGGTGCTATTAGGACTAATATTCTACACTGTTACATTTCCTCCACGTGTTACTTTTTGCTGAAATTTTCTCTTTGAAATTATATATTAATTATTTACATTTTCTATACAAATGAGAAACACCAAAATTTGACTTTGATAAGTAGAAAGACAAGCAACTTAAAAATCCTAAGACGATCAGGCAAAACATCTCATTTTTACACATACGGCAAATCACTGTTCATACCCTATATAACACATGAGGTGCATCAGTTTATTCTGTTTCTATTTTATTCATAACTTTTGGAGAATAATAGTAGCACTAGTGTTTAGGGAAATTGTTGTCTGGCATCACTAAGTACCCGTGTCTTTTATTTCTCACAGAGAGCACTGAGAGATTGCACTTTATTGTTTTTGGCAGAATCATGAAGGTGATCATGCACAATCAAATCTATTTTATATGGTTATATAGGGCAGTATCTCCCTATATTAGAAAAGAACTGGACATGTGCCTATTATAAGAAAAGAATGTATTTTGACATTTTGATCCAAAATAATGAAGGCGAAGATTTAAGTTTTTATTGGTATCAGCTCAAAACAGTAATTATATACAAATAGGTCACTTACAATTTTTCAATTAATTTCTGATCCATGGGATGACTTCTGAGTAATATGTTTGAGAAACTATACAAATGTTTTAATTTATTGAAATGGTGTTTTGTCTGCTTATTTCTTAGTGAATGTATTTTTTTCCAAAAGAAGCTATATATTAGCATTAAATGCATTTAGAAAATAAAATATCTTAATGTTCTATTCATTATTATACATAACTATACATTCATGTGTAAAATTAACTTATATTTCTGGAAATATTTTTTTATTTAAAAAACAAAGGCACTTACAAGGATTTTGGAAAATAGATTGAGAACCAAAAAAATTCATCTGGTTTCACAAGGCAAATTGGAGGATAGAGTTTTAAATGAGGAGTTTTGATCTTCATAAGCTAGTGAGGAGAAGGGACTTTGAAGACCTATTTGAAATACTATATAAACAAGCATTTGATAAGTCAGTTAAACTTGAATTTGAGCGTTGGCTCATGATCGCTGTCTCTGAGGCATTTGAGAGCAAAACAAGTTAGCTCTTGAAATTTAGGTACTGTTCCAGACTGGTTGGTTACACAGAGTTTTAGAAAACTGCAAATGAATTTTGAGAACATCAACACAAGGGAGCCATATAAAAGTGAAGTGATGAATCCCTGAAAGGTAGTTGAGAGTATAGTAGGTTGCTAGGTGTTGTGAAATGCAAATAAAAAGTTGGCAAAAGGGACAGAATAAGTAGAGCAGATGGATGGCAGACGCTGGCTTGTTGTGAAATGCAATTCCATGAAAAATTAATGAAATAGAAAGATTGTGCTGGAGATGAGGGAGTGTGGCGGTGTGACTCTCCGTCCCCTGCCATGCCAGCGCAGACCACAACCGTGTCATCTGGCGAGATTCAGTCCGTCTGCTCCAACTGCTCCAGCTCCGACACATTCTGCTTATCTTGCTTGCTGACAGCTCAAGAGGAAGGATTGAATTTAGTGATAAAATCAAATTGATTATGCTGTTAGCCAGCATCTAACTGTGTGGGGTGTTTATTTATTTATTTATTTTGCTTTTGCTTTTTAAAAAATTTGTATTAGTGGCTCCGGTTTCCAGTGACCCATGTAATAGCAGTAATTTGAGGTTGCTTCGAGGGGATTAGATTTGATCAGTGAACTTGAATTTAGAATGAAAATACAGGATTCATGTATCCATATCTAAATAATGGTGATTTGATTATTACAGAAGTGTCATTCCAGAACAGAATTATGTAAAAGAATGCAGAATAGGAAAACTATATTTTTCTTTTTTGAGATATATAAATTATGCTGTGAACACAGTCAATGCTCAATTTAAAAATTATATGTATGTATATTTGTTTTATATTACTTTGTATGTACATGCACAGTAAAGACAGATAAAATATTGGAGTAATTTTTATACCTGTCTGTGTCTTTCTAAAATACTGGAAATGGAGTGTCAGTGTTTTTGAAATACGAACAGTTTTTTTTTTAGCAAACTCTCAACACTAAAAATAATTATACCACTTAGCCTAAATCATTTAAAATGCTATTTCTGAACACAGGTTGCAGTGGTAAGTTTGTCTCTTTTTTACTTGCAAACAAGATTTCTAAAAGGACAGATTTTCACATTGTAAGCACAATTTTGAAAGCAGGTATAGTCATTTTGAAACCGAAAAAAAAGAAGAAAAGGGGAATGGCAAGTGAACTATGAACAGTAT